ATATATATATATATATATATGCTACCGCCCCCCCCCCCCTCTCCACGTCTAAAAGAACTTCGTGCATGTTGATTCTCAGTAACGATTCCACATGCACGAACGACGGCTGACACCAAAAGTTATGATGGAAAGGACATAATGCATTAACGTGAGCTTGTCTTCTATCACCCCCTCCCAGTGGCACAACGGTAAGTTTGAAGGCTCATAACGCTAAAAGCCGGGTTGCAATTGATTAATACTGCTATTAAATTTTACAAAAAGTTGTAAAATAAATAGGCCTGACATGGCCTGTTAGTTAGGGCGCTGGAGTCACTAACTGCGGGTCGCAGAATTAAACCCCGTCACCGAACATGCTTGCTCTTTCAGCCGAGGGGTCGTTTATAATGTAACTACTCATTGGTAAAGAGTAGCCTAAGAGTTGACGGTGGGTGCTATTAAATATTTGCCTTCCCTTTAGTTCATCACTTCAAAAATAGGAACTGTTAACGCAGTTAGCCCTCGATCAGCTTTGCGCGAAATTCAACAAAGAACAAAGAAATAAAATAAACAGAAATATTTGCTCAGAAGTTCTAATAGTTATTTATTTTAGAAATTCTAGAGTTAATGTTTTACCTACTAGAAAGTAGAAAAGAGATTTGCCTGATTATTATTTTTTTTTATGAAAGGTTGCACACTTAATGAAAAAATAAATACACACTTAGAAGAAAATACGGCCAAAGGCTGTCCCGTGTTTGCTTCAAACGTCTTTAAAATTTCATAAATTTACAATTTCCAGCAAACATAGCTCATTCATGAGGTGGTTAGGGCGTTTGACTCGCAATCTGAGGGTCGTGGGTTCGAATCCCCTTTCTACGAAACACGCTCGCCCTTTCAATCCCACTATTTGTTGGTAAAGGAGTTGGTTGTGGTGATGACTAGCTGCCTTCCTTCTAGTCTTTCACTTCTAAATTAGGAACGGCTAGCGCAGATAGCCCTCGTGTAGCTTTGCGCGAAATTCAAACCAAACCAAAAACAAAAACGGGATTGAATAACGTGCTCAGAAATTCTAAAAGTGAGAGAATGTTACGATTGTGTAGCGCAGCTAATTCATTTTTATACAATAAAAGTAGTTGAACTATTATTCTAAAATACAGTACTTTAGCATCATTAGAGGCGGTTGTAGTAAAGTTAACTAAAATGAAGTTTTCTGCTGGACCAGAATTCCAATAAAGAAATTTTAGTGCCAGACATGAAATGTTGTGTTGTGATAACGAGTTTAGTAGCCACGACTGGTATGGAATGAGCCATGCCTTGCATACCAATGGAGCCTTCAAAAGATAGGCTCTAAATATATATATTTCATAAACAGAATGTGCCGACTGGAAAATAAAAATTTTCGATCGATGCTTTCATAAAAGGTTTAGTAAGTCTGCACACTGAACTCCCCCCCCCCTCGGCTCTTTCAAGCGAATG